GCACTCTACTCCCTCATCCAAGTCGTTAACGCTTTCACATAATATTTATCAAATAAAAGGTAGAGAAGGACTTTGCTGCACTCTTCAGAAGGCTAATGTAACTGACATAATAGGAAGGGGAATGCCTGAAGTGGATATGTTTTCTTTGTGTTATTTTACTGTTGTTCCGTATTTACAAATATTTTATCCATATTTATATATTAATGTAGTACAAAGAAAGCTCTGTTTGTCATATGTGATAGAACCTATAGAGAATTATTTGTGCAGAAGATAGCAGAGTCTGTGAAATAAAGTATAGTATATGAACATCACTTTCTTCTCTCAGGCCTGCAGAGTATCTTCAAAGGCGTTTTGAAGCCCAACAGTACAAGATTAAAGTGGAAAAACAGCTGGTAAGTAAATACTGAATCATAGAATAAATCTGTAAAAGAAACTGAATGAAAATCCATAAGATGATCTGATGTCTTTCTAACAGCAAACTCTAACACTGACAGGAACAAATTTCTGCTCTAGTGAATTCATTGATCTTTTCCACAATGCTCATCTTGAGGTTTTATTTCCTAATACAAAACTATAGCAATGTAAAATTCTACTATAACTTTTTTCTCCAAAAATATACACTTGCCTTACTGCACACTTCAGTGCAACAGGGAGAGTGAATTGAGTGAGCACTGAAGGAAAACATTGTAAAGGAAAATTCCTTTGCCCTGGAATTTGTTTGTACATCCATAGGGACTGCGACCATCCTCTGCTGATGCATATCATGACCCAATACAGCAGGAGAAAATAAAGGAAGAGCATCTCAAAAATCACCAGCAGGACATGTCTAGAAAGAATGAATTGAAAGAACAGGTAAATTAAATATCTTCATTAGTTGCTTAAAGCTGTGTTCTTACACTCCTTGACAATAGTATTCTTTAAATAAGAGTTAATTATTTTCCATCTGATGCCTAGGAAAATATAAGGTGTTTTCATGGGGTTCCATCTTACATAAACTGGTGAAGACTTGAACAAAAGCTGATGTCCATAATAATTTCATAAACCATGGCCTTGATTTTTATTTCACTTGGACTGAGATCAGAGGAGTTACATCACTGCAGAAACTAATGCTGGAGGACAATATATCCTCACATTTACCAGTCAGAGAAAATAGTCATATGTGCATTATTTGTGTATGCATATTCATTGTTTGTTAGTCATACTGTAACATGTAGAATGTGATATATGTGATGCATACTACTTCCCTGGTATGTTATAACTTTTGGAGATTATTTTATACAGAAACAATATACTTTTCTGGTTTTGCTTTTTGCGTGACCAAGAAAACAAACGGATACTTCTTTCTTACATGAACACATGTAAATACATTTAATTTTTCTATCTTTGATTTATAAAAAAAATGTCTGAATAAATATTAATATATTAACTTTTACATAATGATCAAACATTGGAATAAGAACATACTCATCATGTACGCATTCTTCAGAGACTGTTGCTGTTTAGTTTCACAAAGTCTGTCCTAAATATACCAGAAAATTAAATTTTACAGATCTCTCCATTTGTAACATGAGTAAATTGGGACAGACTCTCATATAAACGGTAATAGTAAACAGTAACAAATCTGGCCAAATTTGAAGTTTTTGCTTCAAAGCATCAGAATGTTGAAGCGTCTCCAAGAAAAGATTTCTAGGTTTTGTTTTGTTTCAGGGAGCAGGTTGCAATACAATAAATAATACAAAATTTTATGTCCTAATTTCTAGTCCCCTATTTTTGGATTGCGACCTTAGAGTCATTGCTCGGACAGTCCTTAGGTTATTCTTGGAATTAGCTGGTTTAGATATAATTCTACAGAAAATATAGCATGAAACAGTCTGTAAAACTTCAAAAAGGTTAAAGTCTGGAAGAGTTATAACTCCAAAATGTCCTCTAATAGGAAGCATCCAGCAATCTTTAAAATTGGCAGTAAAGGACACTGATCCCTTTTTCTTGAATATACACAGTTTGATATCCATAGAATATTTTGTTTAGCTAGTGTTATTTCTATATGTATTTCTAATACATGTGTGTTCTGCTTACTGTTCTTTAATAGGAGTACCTGAAACAATTGCAGAAAATTCGGGAAGAATACCATAGTGATATAAAAGAATTCAGATTTAGAGCAGGAGTACTCCAGGTAACAAAGCTCAAACATACTGACAATTATATTTCCATTTTATTTTTTAAGCTAGTACACTTAATTAGAAATTTAAATTAACATTTTATAAAAATGCTCCCTAGGAGAATCAAAAAATACAAGATAAAACCTATCTTGTGAGGCAAGGGACAGCTGAGGACCAGTCTGAAACCAAGGGTACAGCTGGAAAAAGAGAGGAATCACTTCAGGTATCAGTACCATCTCCAAGTCTAAACAGACCTTTTTATGCAAGTCCTGCATGGTCTTTGATTCACTCTCTGTGACAAATCTGAAAAATGGTAAAGCTTAAATTGCATCTGATGCTTGCACCACATGTGAAAGTCTTCCTAGGTTCCCTTCATGAATATCCTGAAAAGTTTCTTTGTCTGCGTCCTGATGTGTTTTCGTAATTCTTTTTCATCTGTAAATATTAGGATGTACTTGTACTTAATTTCTTTGTTGTGGTATGTTTCTTTTCCTTGGTTTCTGAGTGAAGTAAAGAAGAAGCCACTCACAGTGCAAATCTTAATGAGAAATCTGTGCAAAAGATATAGCAATTCCTGAGAGCCCAGAGTAGTACTTTGTGGGAAGTGAGAATCCAGGTTTATGTGGACTCCTTACTTAAACAAAAATTTGGGAGAAGTGGGAGGAAAAGCGAGAGCCAAAGCTTTCCAGTTACAGGACTCCTTCACTTCTTTCTCATCAAATACTATCAGAGCAGTGGCTGGAATCAAGTTTCAGAATTTTTCCACTTTTACTTTGCAATATTGGCATCATGAACACCCGATGAGGTTTCCAGATGACATGGAGTTCTGCAGCAACAAGTTCAGTTTTCATCAAGTGAAATCAATGAAAGCCTCAATTTATGAAAGTTAATCTCAGTGTCCAAAGTCCCAGTCTATTCTGAAGGGAAAACAGCCCTGATCTAGCTACTAGGGTTCTTCAGGCAGGATTTGCCTTGTGGTGTAGGACTCCCTGCACTGTTCAGTAGCAAGGGGCAGACTTCCACATAAACCAGTGACAGACATTGCTACCCTACTGCAGCTGGAACTTCGGCCAAACCTACCAATATTAGCAGGATTCTCTTCAGTGATTTTCATGGATCCTGGATCTGGCTTTTGCTGAAATGAATTCACACATGACTTGATGGGATAAAGTAAGTTAGAGGCAACCAGAGCCACCATAGGACAGAAATTATATTCTCAATGATTTAATGGGAAATGCGTGATAATGAAAATGCTGGAGGAACTACATAGATATTTTTAAAAAGTAAAATCTGTGAATTGTTGTGTTTTCACCTGAGATTGAGGACATGCCCTAGTTGCAGCCGATCACTGAAGTAGCTGCATACAGTTATTTACTGTGCTTTAATCTGACATGTTCTAACATAGGATGTAGGAATATGAAGAGGGGTAAGTTGGGTTTTTTTTTCCTCCTTCCAGGACATGGAAGAAAACTTTAAACAAGTCAGACTCCAGGATAGGCAAGACCAAAAAATCTTAGAAAAGAAACATAACACAAAGGTATCCATCCTTATTATTGTATTTTTTTTCCATTTTCTTCTTATATCTGTGCATTTCAAATGATTGTGTTATCACAGTAGCTCTGGAAATCAAGTTATTTGAGAGTCAATGAAGAGTGCTGGTCTACTGTTAAAAGTTTCTGCAAGAAGGTAGAATCACTAAGAAATGCATAGCAGAGCTTTTCTGATCCTTTGAGGGAGAGACTCCCTTTAGATATTCCCAGATAGTCATTAATCCCTACCTATTCATCTTTTTATCAAACTGCCTTTGCAGTGTATGGAAACTCATGTTTAATTTTAAGTTAAGTCAAGTCAGGTTGCTAATTTCTTAACATTTTGTTGTAAAAATTATTCTCTGCAATGCTTCTTGAATTGTAGAACAGGATGGGAATTGAATGGAAATGCACACAAGATATTGAGAAGGTTTCTGACCATAAGATCATTGTGAAGTGGACTAAAAGTCTTCTGTGAAATATTGCACAAAAGCAGTACAGTATTAAAATTTAAATATTGGTTGAGAACCAGCTGTAAAAAGCAACTCTGTGTATTGCAAAGATTTGAATTAAATTATTATCAAGGATTTGAATTAAATAATTATCAAAGACACCTTCCCTTCAAGTCAAATGTGGATGCAATAACTTGAAAATATCCATAAACTGTATTGCAAGAAGTCTATTTTTGTCTGATTTGTTCAACTTTGATCTTGTTAAATAGAAGAAAAATATTGTTAAATAAGTTATTTTCAACAGGAGAATAATTTTCAAGTTTGTAGTTCTATATAAACTGCGTACAGTTAATTAAATGTTTTTATTTAATAAAATAAATTAATAAAGTGTGTGAATTTTATTTAGGGAGGAGTAAAGTTTGAAATTAATTTAGACGTATGTGTTCCTGAGGAAGACAGCATTCAAGAAGCAGAGGTACGTTGTAGTTACATCCAAAGCATTTACATTAGTAATCTGAAACTGTGACAGTGGCTCTGTGATCCAGGGTTTAATTGTTTCCAGTATCATCATGCTCTACCTTTGTTATAATGAAGCTTCCTATTGAGGATTTGTGGACATATTGCATATATCTGACCTTCTTCAAGAGGATAATTGCTTAGAAGAAAATTAAATTATATCTGGGTCAATATTTCACATGATAAAGGATGAACGACTACAGGTATTTAAATTTTGTAAATTGAGCTGAGGGGAAGAACTCAACTCAAAATTGTGTTAGTCTGCAAATACCAATTTGATTTGTAAATTGTTTTAGTACATTTCTGCTTCTTTTCACTAGTCTTGTATCACAAAGCAATAATAATATTGTGATGCATCAGATGTTATTTAAAAAAAAGTGGAAGTGAGACCACAGACAACATTATGTCATTTCTTTCGTTAAAATGACATTTCTAGCTGATCAACATGTAATAGCTACCTATTAAGATTTTTATTAGTATGTTAGAATTGTTAAAATATTTGTAACAGCAACCTCAAAAATGTAATTTCTTTCTAGTATATATATTATATATATATTATATAAAGCACTATTTTGTCATTCTGTTGTTTCACATCTCTGCAGAGCCCTCTGACAGGCAAATCATAATGTGACTTTTGAGTTCTGCTGCTTCTACTTTTTGTCATACAATTTTCCTGGGCATGCATGAGAATGGCTGGCAAACACAGTTAAGATGAGAAGTGATTAGTTATTGTCCCATATTTGTTTTCTCTTTCTGGAGTAACCTATTGTTTTTTGCAGGTACTAGATAAACTCTATGAGACTTTAACTTTTGTGGATGGTGAGAATCTTAAGGAAAAATCAGTGAAAGTTTATGAAGATCATATGGACAGAGCTTTGGAAGAACTATCTGGATACCAAACAGGTATTTCTTGGTGAAATGCAATGCTGAGCATTAATCCTGAAAATTATATAGGAGTTAGTTAAATTCAGTAACTCCAGGCTATAGCAAGTTTATCTGATGAGCTCTGTCTACATATCATATAATATAATCACACTGAAATCTATTTAAAAGAATTAAATAACTTTGCCTCCTCTTTTTCTTCCCCTTAGAGTCAAATGATATTGGTGATACAAAAGAAAACAGAAGACATTGGCAAGCTGGAGCCCCTCAGACACTACTGAATTTTTTAACTGATGCTGATGTCACATCTGTATGTCCTACTATGGCTGAAAATGAACTTGGTGAGAAAGTGTTGTTTTTCAGTGAAAGTAGGGAGCTGCTAAAATTCAGCCAGACTGCTTCCAGACCTTTGCCAAAACAATTCCATACCAGAATATTCACATAATCAGGCAGGCTTTTAATTGCAGAACTTCATAATAACTGACGTTATTGTATGTGTTAAGCCATGGAATGTAGTCGTCATCCTCCCCTCTGTCTAATATTGCTATCCTGTTGTGCTGCTCATACATATAAGAGAGCTGCTTTTTATGAATCACTCTGTGGCCTGAGTAACAAGGGCTAACAATGCCAGTCTATGCAGCTAATCAACACCACTTTCTTGGGCCTTGAGTTGATGACACACAAGAACTAAGGCGGCCAGTTGCCAATGCCACCCTAGGGTGTGGCAGAGTAGTGGTTTTCTGCTCCACATGCTCATGTTGCTGCACAGTCACAAGCGCATCCTCACACAGCTGTGGCTGTGGTGACACTCCTTTTCAGAAGAGGCTAACTGCTAAGTTTCTTGCAGTACCAGTGCATATATTCCCAAGCAGCCAGTTATCTCCAGTGACTGGGTGCTGCAAACAAGGAGCTTTTCCAGCATTCCAGCATGCTCCCAGCACCCCAGAGACACAGAAATAACCTTAAGACTTTGCATGGAGAGTGAAGACAAAGCAGAGTCTTGTTAGTATGCCACTTCTTGTTCATTCTGCCTTAGATCAAAGAGCATAGGGCGCAAGAGAAACAGGAGTTCCTTTGAAGCTTTTTCAGCACCAAGAAGCCAAGCAAGGACAGCTCAGTGAAGCTGCACCTGTCTGTTCCAGGCCTAATAAGCAGTTACTTGAGCATTAAAACTGGTGTTAGAAATTTTCAGTGACAAATAGTTCAAACTATTTTTTCTCTACAGTATCAATCAGATTAAATAATTATAAAAATATCAGGAGTATTCCACAAAGAAAAAAAAAACACACAGGTTCCAGCATTACTCAAAAGGAAGAAATCAGTGTCAAGACTAGAAAGTCTGAATCTGACAAAAGACAGTGCCAAGCCACAGTCATGCTTTAGTGACCTAAGAACCTTCCTGTTCTTCAGCTGACAGTGCTATTCTGCCTGAAGACATCCCAGAAAACAGGAAGCAGTGGAAACAAAAACCACCAGGGACACTCCTGAATATCTTAGCAAAAGCAGAGCTGTCTAGTGACTCCTTCATCCCTCTTGAAGAAGAAATAGGTAGGATGTTACTGTAAATTCTGCAAGTTTTTCTTCAGTGTATTATTTCTTCCACCATTGGCAGAGCATCTATAATGAGAACCAACATTCTGAAGCAGTTGCCAAACTAGAAGAACATGGGCAGCCTGTCCCAGCAGCCACTGCTCTGTGCCAAAGCAGTGAAAGGCCTCTTTCAGGACATTCCTGTTTTCAATACCATGGAAAAGGGCAAGCCCTACTTACCAGCTTACCTTCATATAGAATCTTTCATTTGCTTGGGTAGACAGAGGCAAGCTGCTACTGCCAGGAAATTGACCAGTCCCACAAACCTGGATCTAGTCCCTGCATCTGTTGAGGCTGAAGAATGTAAAAACCATTTATGCAAATATATGTACTTCCATAGAACAGCTGTAAATTGTAGTACATGCTGGCTTAAACTACAGTGGTTACTTACTTTACAAAATGGTCCATGCTGATACAGCTGACACTGAAATTGATTTGAACTCACAATGCAGCAAACTTCCCTAAAGTAACAAGGCTGTTTTAAAAATGACATTTACTTTGCATCAAAGTTGTTAGCTAAAAAGCCAGTGTATTTTCCCTGGAAAGATGCAGTAAATGTAACCAGACGTGGTTTTATGCACAATTGCCAATCTCCTGAATGTGTAATTGGATGACAGGACTTTTAAGCCAGCTAAATTGTACCGTGACAAGTTTCAACGATTTTATGGATTGTGGGAAGCAGCTTTCATTTGCAACTGTGCAGTCAGTTGCTAATTATGCCTCACATACATGTTTTCTCATAACATGACAAACTCTTTTAAAAATGACCCATCCTAAAGGCTAAACCAGTTAAATGTACCAGCTAAATTCCTCTCCTAAGACTATCTTTATTGCTTACATACTAAAAAAAAAAAAAGCAAAACAAATGAAATTCAAACCACTTTTTGCTAATGACAGCAGTTCACAGGGCTAAATAAGTCACACAAATATTCTAATTGCTGTTGCTTTTATCAGTTACATTTATTAAAATATGGCACTCTCTCAATACCCAGTTCTGCCCTGCTACTCAAGCTGACATTGTAGAGTACAGTGTTACCCAAACTGACAGATTTCTATTGGATCACATGCTGAATTAAGTCTTTATACTAAAACAACTACTTTTAGCATTGTTCTCCCCCCTTCAGGTTAGGGCTGCCCTTCAGCCTTTGAGAGCGAGAATTTTTAGGTAACCATAGCTACATCCAGGTAGTAATTTTCAATCTTTACCAAACAGTACTCCCCATTTTCAGTTTTCCACTGCAAAGGCAGTATTAGGAACGTAAACCTACTAACATCAGATTGCTTTTCTTACTTGACTTTTGTAGTCCTTTGGTTATGGTCTACAAACACACTAGGTTCCACTAAGCAGAAGTTACAAGCCACTGACTAGAACATGTGATCAAAAATAACAGAAGCATGGTATTTACATTGTTGTAATTTGAACAACAAAAAAAAATCAAGCATTTACTTATTTGCTATTACTTTACATGCACTTTTATAGGGAGCTAATATACAAATAAAGGAAAATTTATCTTTCTTTCCAGAAGGGAGATTAACTATGTTGCCTCCAAAAGAAAACAAGGAAGATGATTCAGAAACATACTCTGCTGTTGCTGAAGGCAGAATTGAGCCAAGATCAGATGATGAAGACACGTAAGTCAAGCACATCAGAAGACAAAGTCCATACAACTGAACAATTTTCATGAAATGACAGGTTGTTTTGCCTGAAGCTTTTTTCTGTTCTTTTAAATGCATAAATGAAAAAAACCTGACTTGTTTTACAGAGTCTGCTAATTTAATTTTTAATTCTGTAATTTAATATGTCACATGCCAATGCTGTCATTTCAAATGTTATGCAGAAGTATGAACATGGCTTTGCAGCTCCTGTTCTCTTATCATATAAATACAGGTAGACAGTATCATGGACAAAGAAGAAACAGTTCACATTACATGTGTCACTTGTATATTCTTTATAAAGGGTTTAAAAAAACCTCAAATACCTTGAAAAGAGGAGGCCTTGTAACAAAAATATATTTAATTAAATTATCTTGTTTTACTTTACAGAAATTTTGAAGATTCTGAAGATGAACTCAGACATGAGCTGGAGGAATCTCTGGAAAAAGTGGCAACTTCTCCATCAGAGAGAACCATGGAGTCTCCCATCCTTTCAATAAATAAAGGTCAAACAGATGAAGAAAAGATGAGTTTACTTTGCAAACTACTTGGAAAATTTGATGATGATTTAGAAAATAACTCTGGGTCATTTAGTGTTGACACACATAATGAAAAAGGCAAGCAGGAAGCAAGAGCTACTTAGAACACCAGCACAGTTAGTTTCAAAACTTGCTTGAAATTTCAGCAACATCAGTAACAAAATTTAAGGATAGTTGATATGAAATGCCAAGTGAATCAACTGCTTTTCAACAGTGCTAAATGATCCATTAGAAGTAATAGAAGGTTGTTACTATTTTGTTTAAAAGAAAAAAAAAACCAGGCTACCTTTCAGATGTCTAAATGTTGAAAAATCTTCATCCAGACTTAAATGCACTTGCATCTTTATTACTCTGAACTACCTGGGACATTTCTGACAACACAAGCTTGAGCAAATTTCTGATTGCATACTCTCTTTAACCATTTTTGTATCATGTAAGAAAGACTCCTAGTCAGTATATTTTATTTCCCTAGCGCAATGTTTTAAGCTCTTCCAGCTTTTCATATTCTCTGTGTACTGCCAATACAGCTTTATAAACAGTTTCATTTACACTGTACTGACCCTCCGTAGTATCACCAACTGCTCAGCAGTTTTATATAGTAGCAGTAAATGGGTCTATTAGCACTGTGAGAACTGTGCATACCCCAATTCCTAATAAAACAAAGGACAGTCCATTCTCCCAACCGTATTTTTTCATATACAAAATTTCATATAATCCAGGTGAAGCTTAAATAGAGGGAAAACCACATTCTAAAGTCTGATTTCAGTAGCTTTTTGCACTTCTCTGAGTTTGCTAAAATACAAAATACTGCTCTGATGGCTCAAAAAAGGACTGTTTTTCCATTTTTGATACAAAAGCAGATGTCCAATTTTTGAATATTTTGTTCACAGTGTTCTCAGCTATTATACAATAAGCAGTAGTTTAGGGCTTTAATGTACATGTTTGTATAGCATTTAATTATGCCCTCTGATCTAGACCCTTCTATTCCCTAGGAACAGATAAACCTTTCAATAGAGTAGGGTTGGAAAAATACCATTAAGTTGTCATACTGTGAAAGGACATGAGGAAATCACTAATATAAGGATCATAGACAAATGCAATTATTACACTTACTAGCAAAACCACCATATAATTAACCTAAAGGAATCACTGCAGATAATGAAATCTCCAGAACCACAATTCAAATCCCACATAATAGAATTTTGCCACACAATGGGGGACAGCAAACTGAAAATGTGCTACAGATTCTGGAAAAAAAACTTCTGGGTACAAAAGCTATCAAACAAAAATGTTGACTTTAAAAAGTGTGACTGGGTGAAGAGTCATTAAATGGGTGGACATTGAAAAGGACTCAATAAATAAAAGAATTTCCAGATGCAATTCTGTTACCAAGGAAATATGGTGGTTCTGTGAATCCAGAGGGTTTTGCAGGGCACTGTACTGTCATGTAGTCAACACTGAAAATTTTCAGGAGCATTTCTTTCCCAGTCAAAAAATCTCTATTACATAAAGTAGATACCCTGACAGAAAGAAAACATCTCTTTATTGAATTGGATCAAGGGATCATAGATTAGATATATTCACAGGTGACACACAGTCAAATATAAAAAGTTAATTTTATTCATATACATTTATTTAAATAATGGCTCCACAGATAACAGGAATGTCTCTTCAAAATGCTGGTCAGAAAACCTGTGGACAGAGCGACGAGCATTTTCTCTGATCTCTAACCTTTTTTCAGGAGACAAGGAGAGGATATAAGCCATCGTCTCAGCATAATTATCCTCGTTTTCAGCTAGGAAGCCTGTAATATGTCCTTCATAGGGTACCACAATATCTAATTTGGGGCCTCCAGAACTGTGAGCCAAGATAACTGTGCCAGCTGCCATACATTCAACTACTCCTGTAAAATACAAAAAAACCACTGATATGAATGTGCATATCACATACTTTGGCTTTCTATAAGACATTAGAAAGTTAAAACTGCAGTAAAATCCACACAGAATTATATGTTACTATAGACTGCCTTTCTAGATCAGTTTGAAAAATAGAGTAAATGGTCTCAGAAGAAAAACAAGTTTTTCAGTCCTCAGGACTGAAATCATAAGTTTCTCTTAAACACATAAAACTAAATCTAGAAATCAGATATAATTGGTTAAGTTGTGGTTCTTTTAACATGTTTGATTTACCTGAGATAGATTATATCGGCAGTATATATAGTGAAAAAAAAGCTAGACATTGAAAAAAATGTAAAGATAAACATGGAAGGTGGTTCTGTGACAGAACACTTCATAGTTCTGTTTTGCTCTGTAACAGTACACTGTTCTGTTCCGGGACAGTACAGTCCTGTTCTGCTCTGTGAGGGAACACTGTAACACTGGCTTTATGGTATGGTGGCAGCTGCAGAAAAAAAAAATAGAGCTGAAGGTAACTGTATTCATTTACTCATTCACACTGACGATTTTTAACATTTAGAAAGATACTGAGAGAAGAGCTGACTGTGCACATTTCAATCTGATGATATTTAGAAGTTCAGTATTTTGCAGATTAACGAATCTTTATAGCTTTTGACAATTCAAGAAGACAAACTAGTAAAAATTGGTATTGCTGCATCTGTATTTTTGACAGAAGAAGTTTTAATGAAGTGGGAATCTGATAGTAAGCCTTCCTCGAACAAAATCAGTGACATAGGAATGGCATGGAATGTATACATCAACTCTCATCCATGCTTCCAGAACAGACCTCAGAAATCACTTTAATTGCTGATTCTTCTCAGTACTGATTTGATTTTTTATAAGTTCCTCTAGCTCAAAAATTTCCAACTATAAATAATGCTCCAAAGCTTTGGAACATGTTTTTCACAGGTAAAAAGCCCTTGGAGATGAAGCTGAAATCATGCTGAAATTCAAAATCACAGTGTGACTGTATCACTTAAAAAAATCCCTGTTTTGTGGGGGAAAAAATACGAGAAACCATTATTTCAATTTTGTGGCAGTTGCTTCTGGGAGACACTTCAGAGTGAATTTTTTTTATATTGAGTTCCTACAGAGTATAAACTACTACTCCTGATACTTACTTAACTTGTATTCTAATAAAGTTTGATGACATTAACTGCAGTTTAGTCACATTATAGCCAAGCACGGTATCCATCTGCTTGTCTGCTGACTTACCCTGCTGTAGATTTATGTCAGATGGGCAATCTTACGTTCCATTTCAAGGTCAAGACTCAACTAACTCCAATAAACTGAGCCCCATACCTTAATTCTGTACAACAGCACGTGGCAAACTAGGTCCCAGCTCCTCTTTGGCATTCTGCTCCATGCCACAGCAACTGACTTAAGGACTTAATTGCCTTAGCACAGGCACCTAGCACAATGAGATGACCATGGGTACCTGGTGGCATCTACAAGGTGCTTACAAATGAGAGACAGGACCCATGGGAGACTCACACCTCAGAAACTGCAGCTAGAGCCCCACGACATATATTAGACATTTCAAATGTCAGTTAAGGCAGGTGAAACACAATCAAACTCTCTACACATGGATGTCTGCACATGAACTGTGCCTAAGCTCCCCCCTGCAGTCAGCAGAGCCAACAGGGCACAACCTGTGGTGCTTAAACATAAGTACCTGCTGCCTTCTGAGGATCTTTTGGGTATGGAAGGCACCTGTGCAATGCTGGCAAACCTGACACAGGACCTTAGGGTGACCCATGACCTTGAAGAGTGACAGCTGGAGGTCAGGCAGGACATCTCGGACAGCACAGAAGGGACTACCTGTCTGTTTAGGCGACTAGAAGATGCCCATAATTCACAGTCTACGACATCTACAGCGCTATAGCTTGCACTACAGTCGCACATAGTGGTTGGTCATCTGAATTGGTCCTGTAGGCTTTACCTCAGCTAGATTGCCTCTGATGAGAATGGGAGTTACCTGCTTGGCATGCAGACCTCTATGCTTAGACACCTACATGGAAGAGCCTCAACCATGAACTGAAGCCCTCCCCAACTGTGTCCCCAGCTGGTACAAACGGCTGAACACTGAGGAAAGATACTGACCGATCCCGAAGTGTTCATTCCACATTGTATGCAGGCCGATGGTGGCCTCAGCCAGGTGTCTCTTTAGCTCCTCAAAGGGAATGTTTATTCTGAATGTCACATCATTGAGAACTCCCAGCTCTTCACAAAGACGTTTAAGGTTATTTACACGCTCTTCATCTTGCTGATTACGACAGCCTCCAATTAAGATAAGCTTCAATGACAAAGGCTGCCCCAGTCTCTTCTCTTTCAGCAATTTAGCAAAGGCTCTGATTTGCAAAGGATGATCTTTTTCAGGCCTGAACTGGCTGACAGAAACAATGGAATGTTCAGTGGTACTCTTTTCCTCTTCCAATGGAATATCCATGAAGGTCTGAACATCACATGGTGGATACACAACACTAGTGCAAGCCCCAGCTCTCCAGAGGGAAAGGATGTGATTTAGTGTCCAAGAAGAATTAACCATAATCACATCACTGCAGGAACCAACCAATCCATATATGAAAGCAAAGAAGTAGTAGTAGACAAGTTTAAATTTGCTGAGAAGAGGATTGTTTGTAATGAAGGCTGCATTGTTAAACCTGGTATCCTGACTCCTAACGACAGAAAGCATATCAGTGCTGATAGTGGGATAATGGACATAGCATCCAACGCGACAACCTCCTAAATATTTAAAGAGGGGAAGCGTGAATGCATACCCCATTGAGTCAATATAAATATCAGGAACACACTTCAGAAGAGCTTCCCAGCCAAGAAACACTGATCCTAAACTTTGTCCCAGCAGAGTGAAGTGAGGGTAAAGAGAAGCTTCCACAAGGTAGCGTTTTTCTAGAAATACGAACTTCACAGGATAAGTTAGTTTAATATTGAATCTTCTGAAAGCACCTTCTATGATTTCTTCTCCAGTGGCATGTCTATCACCAGTGTAAACAACACACGTTACATTTCTGTACCTGTTAAAGAAAAAGAATTTCATACATTCTTCTCCTCAAATTTTGTAACATGAAACTAAAATATTATTCATTCAAATTACTCAAAAGTTACGTGAGAACAAATGTCTGGCCTAGCTCTGAGATTCTTTTAACTGAATTATACTTTTCCTTATACTTCCACTGTTTTTTCTGATCTGCTAAAAAAACATACGGCTAAGGACTTGGGGAATTATTTTTTTTTTTAGTAGAACATAAAAGGAGCTCAGTATTACTGTACAGACAACGCCTTGCTCCACGTTACGAGATGTCTCTCTAGTGCACAGCCTGAGTAAAATGTAGAAGATTGTGCAAGCCAGTGCATGTCCTAGTGTTAAATCCACTTCAGATATTAACTTGTTTTGCCTCCTGCACTAAGAGGCATATATGAAGATTACCAGTTTTCTGCTGACGAGTTATGCCCATACAAGTTCCATACCAGTACAGGAAAACTGATGAGGGAGGAGGGGTTCTCCCAAGGAGAGAGAAAAGTGAGAGGTGCCACAGGAGGACAGATCAAACTCTGGGTAAAGGGATGAAGTGGAATGGTGCAATCAAGTGAAACTGTGACATAAAAAGAATGCAGGACTAGTAGATAAATGATACCTACTTAAGTATCTAAAAAGCTGAAATATGCATAAATAATACCATCAGTAGCTCAGAATGAAATACCGTACTTGATAAACATATATGCTTACTTTTTCTGGAGTGTTCTTATGGCACACCACAAGACTCTCTCCCCTCCACCACCTGCATTGCAATATGGGTGAAAAAACGCAACCAGCAATGGCCGCTTCCCATCTTTTCCTGCTGTTGTCAACTGTTTTTTCCTTTGTTGTATCCAGAGCCGTATTCCCCACAGTAGTACCACCAAGCAGACACAAAGAATTCCACTTAGAAATAATGCAGGGATTAACAATGAGCACAGCAATCTGAAACAAGCCGGAAATTTTAAAATACAAAATTGCTTTAAAGAAATACAATGTATGAAATTGAGAGAGAAGAGCTTACAGGTAGAGCTACAGGGAGTTCAGCAATTTATTGAGTTCTTCTAATCTCAGAAATTATTGATATCTGGGTATCATTTCAACAATTATAGAAAAAAAACCTCACTATTGTACACTGTTTAGCCCACTATATTGTTCCTACTGTTACCTCTCAATCATTTATTACCGTTTATTCATGCCATATATCTGTACCTATCTCCATGTGCTATATACACTATAAAGCTTGCACGCCCTTTGCAATCTGGCAAAACACATCTAGCAGAGAGACTTCTAAATAGTTTCATAAGAGCTTTCTTCAGTCCAAGCTCCTGCCTGAGCATGAACTGCTTTGGTGCAGAGCTACTTGGGCCAGCCTGCAGTGCATGACCCAGAACATGCATTTTTCATTCCCTTGAGATGTGAAGAGCTGTGCCAATTATCCAGAAAAGCTCTGAGCAGTTTCTCTGTTTAGAGAGACCTGTTTCCTTCAGGTGTCGGAAGCACCCTCTGACATGGGCACTCCCTTCGCTCACCAACGCCTTCATGCACAGCTCTCCTAACTCAGGAACGGGAGGCTTCTCACAAGACTTTCTTCTTGGCCTACAGAGCTTCAGAAGAGACAGAGCCTGGATTCTGACGCTGTGCTACGCGTTATGATAAACATTATTTACTCGACACTAAAGGGGCTGCCCACGGTGAGCCACGCGTCACAACTGACGCGTAAGGTAAGAAAACACGTTCATTTTCGGGATGAAGAAGCGGAAAAACACTTTGACTCATTCGAGACCGGCGGCAGAGGAAGAAGCTGGGCGGGGACCTGTCCCACCTCGCCCTGCCCGGCGGGCCC